ATGGAGATCAATTATTTGGAGATCAATAATCTGGAGATTAATAATCTGGATCCTGCTAAGCAGACCCTGGATACAAACTCAGCATCACATCCCACACAACTGTTGTTTTCAAAGGCAATGTTTGGATTAATTTGGTTTATGAGGCTTATTAAATAAATGTGTTGATGTTTACAAGTCTTTCCTCTCGTTGCTGATCATTTCTATAACCAGATAATTAACTGTGCAAATGAGGACCAGAAAATAATTGGTCATGTGTGGCCACAGTGAGGCCCAGGCTCCTGTCCTGCAGAAAATAAGGATTTAGAGCAAAGAAAAAGCTACTTTTGAAAGGATTTGATGGAAAGCACTGAAAAGCTCCCCTTTGAGCAGGACTGGTTGGTTTGGTCACTGCTCCAGAGGCACAAAGTTTGCATGAGGGGAAAGGAAGAGCAGGCAAAGGGTTCAGAGCCTTTCTGAAGTTTTCAACCGGATACTTTGCTGGAAACTCCCTCCCTCTCCAAGACATCCAAGGATGGGCAAGCACTGCTCAACAGCTACACTGAGGAGCAGCCAAGGAGCATGAGCAGGAACCACCTTCCCACCTCAGACATGGAATTGTTAAGGTTGGAAAAGACCTTTAGATCACCAAGTGCAACCCTCAGCCAGCACCATCACCAAGGTCACCAGTGACCATGTCCCCAGGTGCCACCCTCACAGGTTTTCTGAACACTTCCAGGGCTGGGGACTCCACCACTATCCTGGGCAGTTTGCCCAATGCTTTACACTCTTTCCATGGAAGAATTTTCCTAAAATCCAATCTAATCCTCTCCTGGTGCACCTTGAGGCTGTTCCCTCCGCTCCTGTCCCTGTTCCCTGGGAGCAGAGCCTGTCCCCTCCTGTCAGGAGCTGTGCAGAGCCACAAGGGCCCTCCTGAGCCTCCTTTGCTCCAGGCTGAGCCCCTTCAGCTCCCTCAGGATCCTCCATTCCCTTCCCAGCTCCCTCAGGATTCTCCACTCCTTTCCCAGCTCCCTCAGGATTCTCCACTCCCTTCAGCTCCCTCAGGGTTCTCCATTCCCTTCCCAGCTCCCTCAGGATTCTCCATTCCCTTCCCAGC